AGGCATTTCTAAGGTCCCCTCTCAGCCTTCTCTTCTCCAGGCTGAACAAGCCCAGCTCCCTCAACCTCTCCTCGTAGGGGAGATGTTCCAGTCCCCTCACCATCCTTGTAGCCCTCCGCTGGACTCTCTCCAGTAGCTCTTCATCTTTAACTGAAACTTTTCCCACCACATATTATTCTTACTGTTCATCTTCCACATGCATTCTTGTGCATTTAGATAACCAGCAAATACAGGCTACATTTTTTCCCCCTCAGCTGGAGTATTAACGGAAGGTATCTCCACAGCATGTCAACTCCTTGAACTTCACAAATTTAAAATCTACGAGTTGTCTACTGTGTGTCAAATCTGTCTGGAAGCGTACAACGGACAAAAGAGGGATGAGAAAGAGATGCAAACACAAGGCCCCCGAGATACCAGAAGCATCCTATCAGGGAAATAAAAGTATCCCATCTAATAACTTCTCGCTGTTTGGCCACAATTGGTCTCAGACAGCTGTAACAATCCATCAACGTATAGAAACTAAAACATTCTAGCAATCGGCATTAGCACCTCAGTCTATTTGACCTGAAAAAAACAGAAAGTTAAGTTCGAATCCACCAAGTGCATCTCGCTGCTTCCCTCGACTTCAGCGTGAGGGGACAGCCTACCTGAGACAGGGGGTTGGGCGTGGGCAGGAGTCCACCTCCGGGCAGCAGACCTGCCACCGCGTTAGCTGGTGCCAAGAGAGACAAAGCCTTAGTCTCATCAGGAATAACTCCTGCAGAGAAACAGCCTTGCATTAGAATGCATTCCTTCTCCAAGGCAGAAAAAACACAAATACACCCAGAAAATGTCTCCCTGATACACCACCTGAGTTTGTTGAAAGTACTTATGTTGGCTAAAATACAAAGTTTGATGTCTATTAATATTTATCATTAATTTTTTTTTGCCAGAATGAAACTTCAATGTGTGACAATTTGACTGTTCCTTTTTCTCTACAAATGGTTAAGTTTCTAGAGCAAAAAAATAGCACAATACACACTACTTTTTTGTTAACACTGCCAAGATTTCATCACCTGTACTCGATTTTTAAGTCATGAACCAAACGTAAGCAAGCACAGTCGGTTCTCCAGGGGTGTGCTCTCAACTTTCAAAAGCTGTTTTATGAACAACGACTCGTGTCGGCTGCTTCACTATAAAGCACACAGAAAAATCAAGATACACAAGACAAAAAAAGTTTGATTTAGGGGTTAATAATATGGTACAGTTCACTACGTTTTCTTTTACACCTACCATATAAATTTTGTAAAACTTAAAGAAGGTATGGAAATATTTTTTTGTTGAATCAAGCGTAGGGCTTTTGCTGACTTGTCAAATGCGAACGCAAGCCTCTGCAGCTCCTCAGATACACGCTGTGTGTGTGTCTGTGGCTGGACGGGTGCATACATACAGTACAGCGCGGCACATTCCTTACCTGCGCAGCAAAATGCGTTTGTTCCAACATGTGCCACGCTTATTGTACCAAGAATGCTGCTACACACTGCCATTTCAGAAGAAACTTCTGGCCCAAAATCTTGCAGCCAACTAAGACAAGTCTCTTATTTCACTGCCTGCTCTGCACGTACAATTTTAAGGGTCCTACTACGAAACAAGTAATAGGTATTTTTACTCTATCCAACAGCAAAAGCCCTATACAGATGGATTAATTTGTTAATGTGCCCAAGCCCCCAAAATGAGAGTTCCAATAAAACAATTTTACTATATAGTTGCAAATACCAGTAGTGTTTCTGTAATACACATTAAGAAACTGCATCTCATCATAAAACATACAATATGTACAGGGCACTTAAGAGAAACTGGATAAGCTGCAGAAGAAAACTGTTGGGTGGTATTTTCAGCAGGGCCTGGTATATAGTTCAGGCTGAACCAGGGAAAAGAACTGTAAAACACAACAACAAAAAAGAAAAACCACTGTTAAATAAAGGTAATGGTTCCTTCCACCTATACTGAGAAGTGCCGATAATATAAACAAATGTATAATACACAGCACTGTTATCTTGCTTGTGTCATTGAGCTGTCATCAATTTAGATACCCAAAGTTATGGAGGGAGAGGGGGGAAAAAGGTCATTTAGATAAAGGGCATTAATGCATAAATATATTAACATACCTACAGAGAGATTATGGGGTAATTTTGCATGCAAAATTATGTCTCAGAGGATATTTATAAATTATATCTAAACATTTCAAATTAGTGCAACTACAACATTTCTGGCATCTAAATACAAATCCTCAGACTTATCTCGAGACACCTCATAGAAGATCGGCATCCATTAAAAAAAAAATCATGCATCTGATCCTCTAATTGTTTTTTTTAAAAAGTATTTAGAAATAAATAAACTACAATTTAAAAAAAAGCAATGAGGCCCCTCACCAGTTAATTTTCATGCTTCAAGAGATTTTTTTACTGCTGCTTTGTTAGAACCATGAAATACTGCATGAATGTGTAGAAATGAAAGAAAAAGAAACAGACAAAAGAAACAAACATTAACCAAAGAACCTAAACAACCCCCCCAGCCATCTTTAATCTTAAGAGTTCCTTCCAAATCTAGGAATATCACAGTGAAAATTACAAATACTAAACCTTACCGTAGACTTTGTGTATAGTTCTATAACACAAAGCAACAGCCAACACCAAAATGTCTGAGTACGCTAAAACTGGAGTGCGCTTGTGATATAGGGGATAATTATTGCACTAAACAGATAATAAACATTTACTTTAGTGACAGGCAATATTAACACAGAATTATCACAACAGAAAATAAAAGATAAAAGGGCCCAGTTCAGCACAGTAGTGAAGCATACGCCTGGCTTTAAGCACATGAGCAATTTCACTGGGGTTTTACGCATCTCGCTGTATCGTGCTGGTTGAATTGGGACCCTGGCAGCACGCATCTGCAGGGAAACGACACTGCGGTACGGGGACAAAAGCATGTGATCACAAAACCAGCAGGCATAACTTCAGTGGCTGAACATATCTCTTGTGATACGCCACATCGTTACGCCAAAGCCATCGACATTCTGAGCCGCTAGAAGACCACAAGAAACAGCCCGTGAGGAGCTCCTCGATTTAAACAGGCCCATTAAAATAGTCTAGTCATTTTATTTTCTTTACACAATCTGAACCACAACTACTGGGCAGATTTCTCTATGTGCCAGATTTATCCACCATCGAGCACAATGGACAAAGTCAGACTGACAAAGAGAAAAATGGTTTTATCCTTACTGGACAAGTTAAACACTAGCGTTCCTCGCCACGGGCCTCGGAGAGTATTCCAGTGCTAACTCAGATGGACTGTTGCTGTATCGTGCTTTAATACAAAGTCGAGGACAAGATGCCTTTCAACCATGCTATCATACCTAAACTAGTGAAAGCTGAAGCTAATAACTCACTGGCAGTTTCACAATGCGTCTGTACTCTCAAAAAGCAGCAGGTCTCAATCAAAGGTCATGCTGCAGATTCCTACGTTCCAGAAATTAAGTTTTCGTATCTCTTAAGTTTAAGGAATACAAAGATAAAGACAGCTCCCAGGCCTCAAAAGACAGCATACAGCGTTACAATGTCTTGATTATAGGTCTGAACTTGGGCCATGTACCGAATTTATTACTGTAGTATGACTTAATCTGCAGAGATTTTATTCAATTCAAGCGATCTGGGAAAATCCATTATTTCAGAAGTAAATCAAGAAACAGTACAATAGAAATCAATTACTTCTAAAGCAAGTCTAGAAGAGTTTAATAAGACTTCTGTAAGAAGAGGTGTCTTCTCAGCACTTTGTTTCTAAGGTAAGTTCCAAAAACCCTGCTCATTGCCTTTCAAATTACTGTAACACCCTAAAATGTAAAAATAAAAAGAAGAAGAGAAGAGGTAGTTAACAAGTGGTTACACCAGGAAAACACTTGGGGACTTGAGTGCTTGCTGGCCTTTAGTTAATGTCTAGAATCCCCTGTAGCTGCAGAGGACCCACTGTTTTTCAGTCATCTGGAAGGGCTTTGCATTTGCCTTCTCCACTACAAAAATCACACACACAAATAACAGAGAGAAGAGTTTATTATTTAGTGAAATTCTATGAAATATATCAAGGATGAACAAGAAAACTTGGAATAAAAAACTAGTACCAGTGCCCATTTGGCACCATTTGGAAGATCTCATTTTCAAATTAAACCATAAATATTCAAACCCTTGGTATACTGGACTTCACAACGAGAGAGAGTGCCTTTTCAGGGAAGTCCCCAGCTAAAGGCAGCGGCAGCATATCTCAAAGAAACGTTAATCTGCTCTCCCACGTGCTCTCAGGGAGGGAGAAACCATTCTCATGAAGAGACTGGAGTCTATGTGAAAGTGGCAAACAATTATTAGGGCAAAATTTCCTTAAAATGTTGACCCATTTCCGTAAATCTGTTTAGGAAAATGTCTCATTGAGACTGATAAAGAGTAAAATTTGCAAATAATTCTCCCTGAAATGTTAATATTCTAAACTTAAAGACACACAAAATCAGTAAGAGGTAAACTTTCCACTTTCAGTGTCACTAGATTAAAAAAAAAATATTTAATCTACGGGCCAATGGCAATATACCAAGGGTTTCAAAATGTTAAGATCTTTTATGTTTGACATTTTTCTTATTCTCATTTTTGTGAGCTATACTGGAATAAATTGCCATCGTATGTGGCTTCATAGACCATTAAACAATTCACAAACCTTCTGCATATGGTACGACTATCAACGCTCTGTCAACGAACACAGTGTTTGTCAGGTGCTGGGCCACAACTGCCGAGTCCGGATCATGGAACTTTACAAAACAGACACGTGATGAAACAGGCAAAGGAGAATCACTGAAAAAGAAAAAAAAAAATAGAAATTGCTTAGATGGAAGCAAGTCTGACAGTATGAAACTTGTAACTTCTGTTGTCTCCCCGCTTTGACCAAGCCAGAAAGCCTTGGGGAACTACGGGGCACTCCTCTCTGCAAGAACACGGTTTCAGGTCGTGTATCAAACATCGTTGTGCAGCACCACTGATAGGAAATTGCACTCAATGAAGCCAATTCACCCTAAAACTGCAGAAATAGCTGTACTGCCTCATTTGGAACTGGACATTAATTCTATTATGCACAATGTGTCTATGACCAGCCACCTAAATGCAAATTGGTTTACATCTTCTGTCTGTGAGAAGGGAAGGAGACAAAGAAAAACCTTGCTTAAGAAAGGTTAAAAGTTACCTACTATGCATACAGCGTAAGTTAACAAAACCAGTGGCTTTACACTCTCTGCTTTAGGCCCCAAATTACTTACCAAGGTAAATAATGAAACACAGAGGGTAATGATTCAGAGACTACTATGACTTTGCTCCTCAACACAATTTCGTAACAGCTTCTAGACCACACTTCATCGTGCTGCTCCTCACACTCACAGACACTGCCAAGCTCATTCTGCAGGCACGTACGCTGCTGAACACGAGCCTGTCCGTCAGCAGAAACACAACTCAACGCAGAAATTCAAGCAGCTCGGGCAGGCACACTACAGCTGGAATCTCAGAAGAGTTCCTAAACAACCAATCAGTCAACAAACCTCTCTACAGGACAGGTCTGTACCTACTGCACAGCTCACAACGAGCGCCTGTCGGCAGAGCTGCGTAAAAATTCCCAGAAAATCCAAGAGAGAACACAGAAGTTTCGAGTCACTTGAAAAAACAGAAATACCTGCTTCCTACAACAACAGGAAAGCAGTGCGGGCCGTGCAACTGTGTCCCCCTCTCCTTCCCTGCACCGTGGTGGAGCCTGGCTGGACACCAGGAGCCCCCCGAAGCTGCTCCACCGCTCTCCTCCTCAGCTAGACAGGGGAGAAAAAACACGACCAAACGTCGTGATAAGGACAGCGAGAGATCACTCAGCAATTACCATCACAGGCAGAACAGACTCAACTCAGGGAAATCAGTTTAATATAGTTAATACAGTTAACTAATAGTTAATCAAATCAAAGCAGGATCATAAGAAATAAAATCAAATCTTAAAAACACCTTCCCCCCACCCCTCCCTTCTTCCTGGGCTCAACTTTACTCCCGATTAACTCCACCTCCTCCCCTCAAGCAGTGCCTGGGGACAGGGAGTGGGGGTTATGGTCATCACAAGTTTCTGCCACTGCTTCCTTCCCAGGGGGAGGACTCCTCACACTCTGCCCCTGCTCCAGCGTGGGGTCCCACCCACAGGAGACAGTCCTCCACAAGCTGATCCAGCGTGGGTCCTTCCCACTGGGTACAGCCCTTCAGGAACTGCTCCAGCGTGGGCTCCCCAGTCCTGCCAGCAACCCTGCTCCAGCGTGGGCTCTCCACGGCCTGCCTCACCACGGTCTGCTCCGCAGGCTGCAGGGGAACCTCCGACCTGGCACCTGGAGCACCTCCTGCCCCTCCTTCTGCACTGGCCTTGCTGTCTGCAGAGTTCTCACTCCTCTCTCTGGCTGCTAAATGCCATTACCCAGGGTGGTTTTTTATCCCAGAGGCGCTACCACCGTCGCTGATGGGCTCAGCCCTGGCCAGCAGCGGGTCCATCCTGGAGCCGGCTGGCATTGGCTCTATCGGACATGGGGAAGCTTCTGGCGGCAGCTTCTCACGGAAGCCACCCCTGTAGCCCCCCTGCTACCAAAACCTGGCCATGCAAACCCAGTACACCCTGAAACAAAACAAAACCAAACCCCCCAAAACCAGAGGCAGAATCAACCCTGTCAAAAGTCCAGAATGGGTTTTAACAGCCCGTATATCCTGAAAATGGTGCAGATTTTGCTTTAATCAGGTGTATAAACTAAAAGACAGCAAGAAAATTGTGATGCAGACACAACTGGGCAGCAGATGAGTTAAACGCTGCCTCCAGAAGGCACAGGGTAAGTACTGAAAGGAGTAGCTAGTCCTGACCACCTAACTCCTAAACAAGGCCAGGGTACACGTGCTGTTCAGTCCTGCCCTCGAGTACCAGAGGTACAAGATAGCCTAACACGGTAGCTCTGAAAAACGGTCACTAATTCTTCACGACAGAGATCTACCTTTACTAACTAGAATCCCATGAACAGTTATAAGACTAGCTCTTCCAAATGCATCCCCCTGCCAAAACAATTTTATCTGGGTTGAAGAACGTTGATCAAGTCTTTAAGCACCGAAAGCGCAGAGGGCTGTCAGAACTCAGAAGAAAGAATGACTTCGACACCAACAAGAAAGACATCCAAGATCTATTTTTGCTAGTGCAAATGCCAAGCTGTCTAGCCTTCACCACCACTAAGCAGAGGCTCAGCCCAACATGACGTTATGCAAACTCAAGAACTGCCCTAAACATTTATCAGATCACACTTTAATATACTTTAAATTTAACCTGATTAGAGCCAGCGTATTGCAGCTGTTAAAATGTGAAAATTAGGAACAGCCACTTCATTCACCTCTTGCAAAGTTAATAAATTGGAAAGTAATATTGTAGCGATAAACGGCACAGAGATGGAAAAACTGAAACTATTAGCTCTTATGTATCTATGAATACACAGTAGCTTCCCAAAATGGTGCCTTTTCTCACCCTATTTGCACAAATCCATAAAAACCAAAGAAGCATTCGCAGCCAGTGTTCAACGAAATCACTGCAGTAAAACTTTGAAGAAAAGAAAACCAAGGAGTTATGGTACACCTGAACGGTATCCTAATCTAAAGTACAAAAAACTGAAACAATTTATCACATAAATGCAGTACAGTATTTTCAAACATTCTTAAAAAGTCTGTGGTAACAGGGGAACATAAAACAGAGTAGGTACTGTTTATATATGTGAGTACCACTAAATACTAACTGTACAGGTAGCTGAATCTACAAAGCCAACTGAAAATATGTTAAGGTTATGCTTATGCAGCCTGACATTTAATATAAATCAGTGCATTTCATTTTTAAAAATGTATTTCCAGTCACTCGAAAACCCAAGCTGTGGCTCAGTGAAACTCATCAAGAACAGAATGTTCTCAACAGTTACCAAAAAAAGGCTGTCATTATTCTAATTCACCAGAGACCGAAAAATTTAGTGATTCTCCCTCAGACATCACGCTGACGGATGCGGAGACGCACGACGATTCACTGCGCTTGCTGGCTGAACAATGCACCCGTTCTGCGGTGCAGCAGATCCTGAAACACAGCTGATGAACAGGGAAATCCAGCCTTCCTACCATAACCTCTGACCACTTGCTCCACCAAAGCTCCCTCACATTGCAAGCAGCGTCTTAAATATAAAATCCAGTATTTTTAAGGGATATTTCTGCCACGTACACACACATTAATGCTGGCATCATTACTGATGTAAACCAGGCTAGAGTCAGGCTGGAGTGAATATACTGTCTGTGCAAGAGATGTTCCTCAACATTACCATGTTCACTGGGTGGGAAGAAACAGAGTTTAAAAAAAAAAAAAAAAACCCAAAACCAAAATCAACTAATACTCCCCCACCCCCAAAATAAAAAAAACCACAACCCATGCGCTTCACTTGGAAGTGAAGTTGTCATCCTTTTCCCAGCAGATCAACTACCAGTGGGAACTGCAAGTAATGCTGGTATCCCGATAGAGTCCTTGTATAACTTTCCTCAGCAGTTACTAGGGAAGGCAAAGCATCCTGTCAATTACTATGCCATCCAACATATGAAATTATTATTAAGTATGCTTCCAATTTTATCAAGCTTTAACTCTGTGGACTGTATTTTCCATCAGATGTGCTTTTTTCTTTGTAAAATTCCCTGTGCATAAAAATTTGACTGGATGATTCATATCTAAAGAGTAAGACCAGAGAACACATTGGTTTCTCTATCAAACACCAGTGGCACAAGACCTTTTACATCCCAGTTTCAGAGCGGAAACTTAAGTTTTGAGGGAAAGGCAGTTTTCATATGCCAAACAAAATATGCTGAAATGAGCTTTTATATATATATGTGCGTACACATACACACCCCTTTTAAAAAAAAATATATAAAATACACAAACAGACAAACAAATCACTCTCAGAAATCCATTCCCTCCACTTTCTAGCTTTGCCTACCACGGAGGATGAAACTATACAGAATACAATAAAAGACAAGAACCAGGCAACGGAGTTGGGGGAAGCAGGGAAGAAAAGGTTTGGGGAGGAAAAATGAAAGGAGTCGCAGAGCTGGATACTGATGAGGGGAGAGAAACAGAAATGCAGAGAAGCTCAGGAAGTTATATCTGACCTGGAAGAATAAGGAACTTCTACAAGGCACAGCAGAATCAGAGTGACCGAGAGAAAGATCAAAGCAGGAGGCAGAGCAATGGAAATGGGACTGGTGACTCAGAAATGCCACATGGAAGAAAGAACCCCAGCATAGTCTGGGACATAAAGAGATTCAGATCATGGAGAGAATTTACAGATCATAACTTATATCCTGTAGCCCCCCCAAAAATGGATCAGCACCACAGGCAGGGAAAAGTCAGGACCTGAAGTTTAAAGGGGAAGGAACAGAAAAGGCTTTAGGAGAAACAGATAAAAGAACTTTACTCAAAAATACACCGCTCTCTGGTGTGAAATGAAACCAGAGACTGTCAAGTATCCCGAGATCAGACCCCTGAGCACCGCAGCGGTGGGTCCAGAGGCGCCAGGGCCCCTGGCATCTCTGTATGCACAGCAGCACAAAGGAGGCCACACAAAACCTCCTTCAAACTGCGAGGTTAAAAACTAACCCCCGTCCGAAGAAGCGCTTGGTCTAGTATCAACCGCACAACCTTTATATACATTTTCAAAAACGCTATTTTTCCAGCAAGACACACGTTCTAGAATGAAGCTCACGACACTGTCCACTGCAACACCTATTCAGTATGCTCTGCATCTTCTGCACAAGGCCTGTGTAGTTACACTGTATTTCCCGTTCCACATTAATTTCTTCCGTGTCTTTTCTATAGTTGTAACTTTTTTATAAACCCTGACAAACCTTCACAACATCCCTACAAGAGGAAGACCTATTACCCTCCTCTTTCACTTGGGGCCTTGAAATACAGAAGAAATCTAGGCCAAATGTTTGAAGCAATTTTTGGTCACCCAATCGGAGACATCTGGCACCGGGTTACCGGACTCACTGGCACGCTGTTGCCTTTCCTCCCTCGGCGCAGGCCTTCAGCGCCGCAGCTGCGAAGGCAGGCAACACGGTATTTTTCTCTACCAACAAAACGACCCAGCTGAAGCGACAAGAACACCAGCGCCAGAACAAAGGAGGCAGAAGTCAGCAGTGAAGTGCAGGCGCTCGGCCTTTCTGCAGAAACAAACTGACACCGGGACACAAACTAAGTTCACCCTAATGACCGGTATCTCCTAGTGTCTAACCAGGATCAGACGTGACAGACACAAGGGTACAACGCAGATGTCCCTGAAGCCACCTCGTCTCTTCCCACCGCCCAGCTCCACCAGAGACTTCTCTCCCATGCCCAGCCCCCAGACGGATCCAGCGCTTGCACCGAGCAGGGCCCTGCACATCTGTGCAAAGGAGTCAAACTAAGAACGAACAGACCGTCTGGGGCCGTTTCAGCCCAGTTACCCCAGCTATCAGCAACGCAACTCTCCTCCCTCAGTGTCACTTACACACACATTCAATTTCCTTCTGTGCTTCAATTCCCAACCTGAAACTGCTGAAGTCCAACCCAAAGTAAGAAACTGCAAGACATACTGTTTCTGAATTTGCATATATAGCCGGCTAACAGGATGGGTGAATTTTCCTGGTTTTGTGCTAAGCAGGGATTGAAGACTCAATGATGAAAAAAATGCTTTGGGATCGCTTTTTTTTTCCCCCTAAAATAAAAAAATCCAAATAGCCTAGAGTATTAAAAACAACTGACCGTGTTCTTGTTGGATTTATCTCCCATCAAACAATCCTGGCTCACGTCGGCAAAAAAGAAACCTTTTTATGCAAAAGATCAACATATAACGACATCAGGTTCTGCAAAAAAAATCAAACTGACGCGGCCAAATTAACGTTACCGCCTAACCAGCATCATCAATGCGTATTGCTTGTCCGTCAGCGATTACCTGCCCATTCTGCACAGAATTCTTTGCGAGAAATGCATATTTGTATCAAAAATCCTCGTTCCGTAAGGAAGGACCGGCAGCCGCGGCGCCTGCCCA